TTTTTTAGCAAGGGGTACCTGAATGTAAGAATTAATGCTACACAAAGGAAAAAACAAGGTAAAGGTAAAATTTTGCAAAGAGATGTTCATACTCTCTTTAAAACTGCACAATTATTAAAACTGCACAATTGACCTTACCGTTCTGAATACCCACTCTCCCGGGCGAACCTCTGAAATGCACCCATGGGATCTGAGCCTGTGCTTAAGATGAATATCAGGGGAATGGTGCATGACATATCTTGATACAGAGTAGCCAGGTCCACAGGTGGTGTCTCTACAAACTGTTTCCCAAGATTTTCTATCACAAAGTCTGTAAGAGCAAAAACCACCTGAAAGTTACAAAGAAAAAAACATTAAGAAAAATTGTATGTTGGATGAGGATTCTTCATAATTTTATTTCAGTTTTCCCCTTCAGTTTCTCAGGGGATGGTACCCTGTGCTTTTGCACTTTTTCTCTCTTGACTGTGCATCCTTCTTCCTACAGACATAACTTGGTAGGTACGTGTACCAAATATCTGGCAAGGTTCTCATGGCTCACCAAGCGAGATGAAATATTGGGTAAGAGGAAGTCCTTCATCGTTCAATGCGTCTACAAGCCTGCTATCTCCCCTTCCTTGCCTCCCTCTGTCTAGTCCTCTTATGTTTGTGTGGACTTTACCTCTAATCCCTCCATTGTCTCTTTCTGTAATATTAACCTCTTCTCTCCTATCATCCCTTCTCCCCTATCATAATGCCTAATCATTAGGCATTACTGTATTCTATCCTCGAAATCAAAACCAAAACCTTCCCTTGATTGCAGCTACCCTCACAGCTACTATTTCATTTCTTTTTCTTTTCTTTCTTTTTTTGAGACAGAGTCTCAGTATGTCACCCTTGGTAGAGTGCTATGTCATCACAGCTCACAGCAACCTCAAACTCCTGGACTCAAGTAATTCTCTTGCCTCAGCCTCCCAAGTAGCTAGGACTACAGGCACCCACCACAATGCCTGGATATTTTGTTGTTGTTGTAGCTGTTGTTGTTTAGCAGGCCCAGGTTGGGTTCGAACCTGCCAGTCTCAGTGTATGTGGCTGGCGCTGTAACCACTGTGCTACAGGCTCTGAGCCTACTATTTCATTTCTTTGCTCCTATTCACAAGCTAACTTTTCAGAAAATCGATGGCATATATTGTTGACTCTTCTTCATCTCTCCTTTACTCATCAGATCAGCCTCTTCTGACCCATCTTCAGAACTAGCCTCAGATTTGATGACAACGTCCAGGCATGGTCATTTCCTCATCAAAGTGCTTCTTCACTGATCCCACTCTATCCTATCAACTCCATTTCTGTTCTTCTGAGTCTTGTCCCTCTGTAGCCCATAAGAGCCCTTATGTGAAATACAACAGATATCCTCTTAAAGGTGCTTTAATGTGCCAGAAGGCTGTCATGATAAATACACAAGCTATGCTATTTACACTGTAAATCATTCTCCCAACGCCTATAGAGTGTACATCCTATATAATTGTAAGTAGCAGCCCCTTTTTAGCCTTAGTTTTCTCCATTAGATATAGACACTAACTTGTCCAAACCAGCCTTATGTCTTTTTCAGGGGAAGGGTCCCCACTTGGTCTAGGGTCATGGTTTGGATCACACTCTATTGTGACCAACTTGGTAAAAGATTTTCATATGCTTATTTCTTTAAGTAAAAATGTATTGAGATACTAACCACAAAAGTGACAAGATCCAGAATAAATAGCCACACAACAGGACCAAGGGGTTTGAGGCTCAGTTCTAGTCAGCTATATTACTGTGTGACTAAGTATGTGGACAATTCGTTTAACTTTTCCAGGCTCAATTTCTTCATCATTTTTATTTAAAAAGGTTTGATTATATAAACCATTTGCTTTTTACCTGGCTAAAGTGCTCCTAGAGTTTATAATGAATGAAAACATACAAAGCACCAATAATTTTTTTCTTAGGGATGCTATGTGCATACCAAAATGGTAACAAACTTACAAAATACTTTTGAACTTGATCAAGAAGTTGGAGAAATATTTTTTCTTGAAAACAGAACAAAGTGTCACTAATACTATATAGTGATCTGGGTCTTCCATGGCTTTATCACAACTATTCTTATGTGTAGGAAATACTTATCTTTATGGAACATTTCAAATATGAAGAAAGTAAATTTGCACGAAACACTCCCTCAGACATTTGTCACCCAGTACATACCTAGTGAGATATATATATATATATATATGCAAGAACATGGTCAAGTGCATAGAATGAAGAAAGTAGATATATCAGTCAAAGCTATGGAACCTAAGATTCTTGCAGAATTAGCATGCAGTTTCCTGTCTTTTGATTTGGACTAGTACTATTTGTCCTTCCAGGATGTGTAGGGTTAACGATTCTCAGGTGGAGGAAGAGGCCACAGAAGCGAGTTATGTATATATGCCAGCCCAGGAATGCTTGCCGACACTGCTAACTAGTCCTCCCTGCTTTCAGACTAACTGGTTCAAAGTTCCCTGTTGGTTACTATAGTGCATTAAAGATCTTTTCCATGCAACAGATAATATAACAACTCCTATCTAATTACTCGGCCCAGAGACTTCTTGGATTCTAATTATTCTAGTCAGTATAAGTGAAGCAGTCCTGTTTCTTGTTGTTGAGCACATTGCTAACATAATGGCCTGAGTAGAGAGTGTCCCTTTAAAGACTAATTACATGTCAAGATAGCAGGAATATGGAAGATTCACTGGCTTGACATTTCTTATCAGTTCCTTGGCTAGGCTCCTATGCACTCTATGTAAATATGCTCACTTATCAGTCTTTATTAGAGCCCACTCCATCCAAGCAAGTCTTGTCATCCTGCAGTGGCCATACCTCTGTGGTTCTTCTGGGGACTTTCTCTGTGTGCTCCCCAGTACCATGCTGCTGTAGGTCCTGATATAGAGCAACACTGAAATGTTTGCTATTCAGGGGTTTCTTCATATCACATGGCTGAAAATGACCAAATTCTGCCTGTGAAGCTTTTGGATATTTTTGTCTTTATTCCCATGAGGACTTTAATCATAATAACAGCAAGAATTTGCTGTGGAAATGTTTCAGATTTCTCATAATCTCTAAGATCTAGATAACCAGGGACTTCTTGATGATCATCTTCTACAAAATTCCATGTTTGGATTGCAGGATCAGAGAAAGTACAGCCTCCTCCCTCTTTATCAGCAAGTCCTTAGCTAGGAGTTCCTCTCACTCTCTTTTTTAAGAAAATTGAGTTTCCCAATTCTGATATATATGACTCTATTATGTTTTGCTTAGAACCTTTTTCTAGCTTTGCTGCTTGATCTTTCACACAGTCTCTGGTTGAGGCCTGTGGAGCATTTTTCAGTTTATCGTTCCCATAAGAATCCATTGGGCATTTCCATAGGAAATTCCTGGATTTGGGGGAAGTACCTTTTTGAAGGTATTGCTGGCGAATGCACAAATTCACCGTTGAGACAGTCTGTGTCTGTGTCTGGGGCTTTTTGGCCCAGAGTAAGAGGTTGGTTCTGTGTCTTCATTGTGATGAACAGATAAGCTTAAACAGTTGGAATAAAAACTCCCTGTTCATCCTTCATTAGTGACCAAATCTCATTAAAGCTATCATATACTAGATAAAGAATAAGGATCCTGGATAGCCCACTGAAATTGTATGTTACAGCAGCGTCCCATGCTTACACTTCTTACCATCATCCTCAAGTTCCTAATCTTAAAGAAGAAATGAAGAGAATATTAAATGGAATAGGGAGGTGTCTTTTTCTCCTCGTAGAGGGAAGCAATATATCATTAAACTGGTAATGCAAATAATAGTACCTCAAACTTAAAATTAGTAATAATAATTGCACATATTAGTAGCAGCATTATTAGCAAAAATCCATTAAGGTAAACTTTCTTCCTTAAGTTCAGAATTAGTCTGCAGTGATTTATTTAATTTTTCATATCTTCTTTCACCTGATCTAAATAGTGAGTTAAAAATTCTTCAGAGAAACAC